GCGGGGCGCTCGCTGCGCGTGCTCGGACACGTCTCCGGGCACGTCCCCCAGTGTGACTGCGGGCTTGTCCCCGCGCGGGGCCTGCTGTTACCCGCTGCCCGCGGGCGGCTCTCCCTCTTCCTCCCTCGGAGCTGCGGTGGGTACCGGCGTCCCAGCCTGTCGTCCCATCGCTGTTCTGCCCTCTGTTGAGCGTGCCCTTAGTGCCCCGAGGGGCTCCCTGCAGGGGGAGAGGAGCGAAGCCACGCTGTAGGGCGGTCCGGGGGACCGAGCCGAAAGGCACGCTGCTCTTCGTGGGAAGAGCCTTCCCACGGGGCCGAACCGCAGCCCTGGGCGCCCAGAAGTACCCGTTTTGGTCTTGCAGGCGTTTCCTGTGCGCTGCTGAACAGCACGACTTTCCTTTGTGCAGTCCGGAGACGAGAGGCTCCCGGGAGGCCCCACTGTAGCCTTCCATTACTTGAAAGGAGCTTATAAACATGAGGGGAAGACACTTGATACATGGACTGATAGCGACAGGGCCAGGGGGAGTGATTTTAAAATATATGGGATTTAGGTCAGGGAGTAGGAAGCGGTTCTTTACTCGAAAAGCTGTGAGGCAGTGGCACAAGTTGCCCATGGAAGCTATGGGTGCCTCATCCATGGAGTTGGCCGTGTTGAAGGTCAAATTGGATGGAGCCCTGCACAGCGTGATCTGTTTAAGTTCCTCCCACGGCAGAGGGATGGAACTGGATGTTTTAAGGTCCCTTCCAACCAAAACGATTCAGTGATTCTGTGATTCTTACTTGCAGTTATCCCAGCCTTTGGATTGCTTGCTTTGCATGGGGGTGACACGGGTTGGTTGGGAAGGCTGGAGCGTGTTACTTACCTGGCAGTGGCCAAGAATAGGGTGAAGCTGCAGTCTCCCCAGTGCTATGCTTCTCCTTTTTGCACAGGAGAGATAAAAGCAGCAGCAGAAATTCTGTATTTTTGTTTTTTGGGTTTTTGTTGTTGTTGTTAGAAGTACAAAGTGTTAGCTTCATTGATGGAAAATTCATTTATCCCCTTGGGCATATACACTGCCCTTATGCAAAGGTGCAAATAAAATGCTTGTTTTTGTATATATGATGTATTTACATGTACAGCATTTGCAGTCAGAGATCAGATATCCAACCATTAAGGATGCGTGAAAACTCCTAATATTTCTTTATCAGTAATAATAATTTAAATAGAGGATAAAAATACACCGCTTTTGCTTGTGTGGCGTTAGGGATGAATCTGAATAGCACTGTATTTTTTTCTGCACTCGTGAGCTATTCTATCTCAGAGCCTCTGTCTCAAGGGACTGTCACTCTGACTGTCTATACACAAGGGAGATGTGCAAAACACCTTCAAGAGATAATCCTGGGAGCTTAAAACCACAGCTTTACTGCATGCTAAAAATCTTGGTGTAGGTTTTAGAGCACAGTCTCATCTGTTGTTCCCCCACTAACCTCTGTATATCGCATTAATGATCCATGAGCTGTCCTGTCCTATGAGGAGGGAGGAGCTGACAAACTGACCCTCATCTTGGTTCTCCGCAGATGCTAAGTATCCCTTCTTCCCCATTGCTTCCCAAGAGTATGTAAAGTGCATTCAGAGCAGCCATTTTTGACCTGTTCGTAGCTTGGAATTTGCTGTTCTTTTTCAAGCCTCAAAGCAGCAGATGATTTTCCTTCACAGTGAGGTCCATTGGCCCTTTGTTCTTGTGCAAAATCAGCATCGCAGTTATGAAAAAATAACTACTGAAAGTACTTCAACAGAAAAGAGCATAGCATGAGCATAGCACTTGCCACCTTTTTTTGGATCTGAGCTTCATCTGGGCCAATTTCTCATCTCTCTTGCTTAGTTCCAAATAGAATCAAGCTCAGGAGGAGTTTCAGAGACTCCAGTGTAGATAAGTTGTCTTATGCAGGTGCACCCCCAAACAAGTTTAACAAGCTCTCCTCATGACAGCACAGCTGTTATGGACAGCAAGGCTGTGCAGATCGGGTTTGAATCATCCCCTTTGAATTTTGCATGAAGAAAATGGTAGCATGCTCCTTATCTCACACTCTGTGATAGGGAAAGAAATGTAAAGATTTCCTTCAAATGTCCTGCAAAGTTATTAAACTCAGACCATTTGCCAATCAAGAAGTTCTGTTAGTTTCTGTTACTTCCAGACAGTTACAGCCTGTAAAAAGAAGGCCTTGTCTATTAATGAATAAATGGCTGTGCAGATTCCAGTCTGCTAGTGAGGAATGAACTACCCTGGTGTTCTTCCTGCAAAGCCAGCAAGGAATTCAAATGTAACTTTAAGAGTAAGGTTCTATGAGATGTCCACTAGCAGGACCCCGTCCCAGGCCGTAGGAGGGAGCAAGGTGCCAGGAGCTGCTTTTGCAGAGAACTGTCTTGTTTTCCCAGTCTGGCCAAGCCTGCCTCCATCTCAGTGCTATGGGAGAATAGGAAAGCAGCTGGTGCTGCTTCCTGTCTGAGAAATGCTCCCAGAGATCCTCATCTTTAAAGTATGCATGCTGTTAGTGATGATGAAGTCTTTGGCATACAGCTCACAGCATCAGGGAAAGCTGACTTTCCTTGATAAGACTTCAGTGGAGAACACCAGAGAAGCCGGTTATACCTTAGGATGGCTGCTGGTTTATTCCTTAGCTTCCTGCCAGAATGCCAACGTGTTTTACTGACCTACTATTTTGCTCTAAACTTTTTTAGCACCAGTACATCTTGGGGAACATGTACAGGTGTTCGTCTCTGCTCTGGCATCTCCAGACTTCTAGAGGAGGAAGCTAGGTCAGTAGTACAAGATGCTCACGGATACCTTGACAGCAAGGCACTGAAGGGGATGAATGCAAACATTTAACAACTGCCTTATTCATCTGATCTGATACTTTAAATGAAGCAGTGGCCCTAGGGAGAGAAAATAAAGAAAAGAGTTTGTGATCATATAATTAAAGACTGCATCATAATGTGCACAGAATGGTTGAGTTAAGGTTGTACTGGCAACCCAGCTTCTGATATTTCCTAACTTTTAAGCAATACACTGCAACCTTTACAACATTTCTTTCATGTTGTCTTTGCAAGCACTGTTTCTCACTATTGGTTTGGTGGGAGCCCAGCATTTTAGGAGTTCTGTCATCTTGGAAACAAGTAATACAAATACAACTTTTATCTGTGCCCCCCATTCACGTACACACCCTATAACTATTGCAACATGCTCTTTTCCCAGCTTTTTCTGAAGGAAACTATGGAATGCACTTCATGGTAAGCGAGAAGATCCAAGAATTCAAAGAAGAAGAATGAGAGTTACTTGATTTTTTAATTTGTTCTGGTTCTAGAACCTGAACTAATGCATACTTGTTTATGAAAATAAATGCGCTGTATGTGCAGTATAGATAATCTTCCTGTTTGGGGAAGTATTCTTGACAGAATAAAGAAATGTAGGAAAGTCTGAGGGAACACTGAACTTCTGTTCCAGAGACAGAAGTTTGTAGGTTTTGTGTCCAGCACTGCGTATCCATGTGCAGCTTCCCCAGAGCCCCAGCGCCATGCCAAGGGCTCCCACTTTGTCCTGCAAAGTTTCCAGTGAGGCCTCCATCCAGCCACAGAGGTCCTGGAGTCCTTCTTGGAAAGACTTTGGCCCCGTGAATCTTTTTAAAATGGGACAGGAACATTTGGGCCACCCCACTACTGGTGAATGTGCTGAGGTTCCTGTCAAGGGGCATGTTGGGCCTGTGGGGATTTAATGCGGTTTTGTGGTTTTTTTGCCTAAGACTGGACCCTGAGAGCAGGATGCCCTTTGTATTCTGCTATCACAGGACATGGTTAGGTTTGTGCCTGGGCTCAGAAATGTGTCATCGGTGGAGCGCACTTGCAAAGAGGCGCTGTGCAGTGGGGCTCTGGTTGCAGAGGCCCTTCTCTCAGCTTGGCATTACAACATTGAAAGTAACCACAGTTTTATCCTCAGAATGTCTAGGGGTGAAGAAGCCAGTTATATTCTTCCAGAATGGAGCAGTCTTGGCTTTGAAAACTTAAGATAGACTAATGTGAGTCAGAGAAAGGCAAAGTCTGAATGCGACCACACTGGGAACCTCCCTTTCCCTCCAGCATGCCTACACATACACAAACTGCATTTCTGGCCTGTTTCATCAGGCACTGAATCCCTCAAACCACTTCTCCCACAAGAAGTCTCTTTGCAGCCAGTGGGACAAGGCAGCTCAGCCAGAGTCCCATTCTGCACTCGGCAATCACTTATCATGCACCTCCAGCACTATGGGGAGCGTGAGAGGGTTGGGAAGGCTTGGGGTGCAGGGGATGCAGTCAGTGTTAGTTCTATCTATAGCAGGTTCTGGACATATTCTGTACAGAAAAATACTTGCTTGGTGGTTTTAAAGGGCAGTGTTCACAGCGAAAATTCTCCTTGTGGCGTGAGCCTCAAGTAGAAGAAAGCAGAATCCAGCAAGGACAGGTTCATGAGAAGTGTTTTCCAATTGTATTCCTTTGAGTTCAGCAAAGAATTCGTGATACCATGAACATGTAATACAAAAAAGAAAATTCAGAAAATAGTAGTATTCTGGTCTTATTGCAAAGGTGATTCTTTTTCAGGTGGGATTATAGCAGGTGCGGCAGCAAATGTGGTGCTTGTTTTTAGCAAAGCAATCATCGTTTGGATCCAATAACAACAAAAATTTAAGATGACAATAGAAGCAGGTTATTTGAAAGCTTGTCAATAAAGAGCTCCTCGCAACCCAGAGTTGCACATAACCAATATTACGCATCCATTTTTTCATTTGTATGTACTTATGAATAAAACAGGAGAGGCTAATACAGATGAGATAAATAGTCAGAGATTGCAACTCTGCATGGGAAAGTTATTAACAATAATATTAAGGTGAAAGGAGTTTTTATATTAAGAGACTGATTTAACCATTTGTTATCATACTCTGTATTCAAACAATGACATTGTATCAGCTCAAATTCCAAGTTTTTGCCTCTTTTATCATTTTTCATGGTGCACCTGGGATGGAAGTGAAGATAAATAGATTTGTGTATAACTCTCTGGTTCCCAGAGTTTTCTGGGCTACGGTATTGCTTTAAGAAATCCTGAAATAATATGAAAACTGCCTTCTCTGTAGGGGCCGTTTGTGGACTTTTGCACTGTTGCCTGCCCAAACAGGCTCTGTGGGTCAGCATGGGGCTGTTGGTACCACCATGGTCAGGCGAAGGGAGAGCAGGCAGGGGCAGTCTGCTGGGAGAAGGACAACCCAGGCATGAAATCAACAGCAGGGACACGATATTACAGTTTAGATGAAGCTTACCAGCTACTACATCAAGGGCAGCAGAATCATTATGGATTGTAACATGGTGCTTTGCCTAATGCTTGCTCACAGAATTGGCATCCAAACATCTGATCCATCCAAACACATCTGAGCATGGTTTTTAGAAATGTAGCAGTTTCAGAACATAACTCCAAGCTGTAAAGAGTCCACTACAGATTATGTGGATTTTAATGGTAGTTTTATAGCAATATTTCCTTTGCTTTAGAATAAAACTGTCTGCAGATTTTAAGTATAAACTTTCATTAAGATAGTTGAAGATTTTAAGGAAACTGTATATTGATCCTGTTACTACATTCATTTTTCCTTAGGATTTGCAGTTTATGTACTTAATGATGTGGTTAAAAAACCCAGACACATTTTTAAAAATCCTTTGAAATATCCAGAAAAATAATCACTTTTCCAGTTATGTCATAAAAATTGCTTGAGCAGCTTTATTCATGTTTGTGATTTGGAAATGTGATACATTTTCAGACGGATGGCTTATTTGGAAGGGACTTGAAGTAATAACAATGAACCTTCAGTAAATCTGCCTGTCTCAAAGGTACTTCAGAATAGCAAAATGGAAACTTTGCGACAGCAGCACTGGAGATCAGATAGCAAAAGAGATTGCCCACTATTCTCTTGTTGAGGCAGAAGAAAGAGTAAAATGGTTATTGCAATATGTAGATAGACATACACCTCTGATTCACAAACTCAGCTTTTTCTGGCACAAGTAGGAAATAAAGAGTGTGATGTGAGATTGTAGCCATATTTTCCTTCTGCCAAAGCTGGATGTGATTTTTTTGGTTGTAAGCACATGTTCCTGCATGTTTCATTCAGAGCAGGATCTGTCTACAAAGGACAACTGATTTCAGATTAGCTACTTCTCTGTGATTTCATTGTGGTCTGTTGTATCTAAATCTTGAATATAATGCAATGAATACACTGCTATAAAAGCAGACGCTAATCAGTCATTTTCTAGCCAACTCTTAGTGCAACTTATTCTTTGTTTCATTATCATTTGTAGTCATGGCATTGCTCCCATTACAGCTTTTTCTTTTCTTTCAGTGGTATTAACTTGGGCCTTTTAATCAGTCTCAGACATAAATTTCACCTGTGATTCTCAGGGCAAAATTAATATAATTAGTTTTCTTGGACAGATTTGACAGTCTGAGGGAATATCATGTTGAGAGTCTGTGTATTACCTTGCTTTGAGCACTGATAGATGTTCTGGTTAAGATCAGATGAAAATCCTTCAAAAAAAAATGGCAGTGACTGTTTTTATTTGATTTGTAATATATATTTGCCTATATACTACATCAACTGTACTTATGTGTGAAGACTTCAAACATACCTGTGTGAATACATAGTCATTATTTCCTATAAAAGGATTGCATTATGTTACGTGCCTGATATTAATGTTTGTCTTCCCCCATGCAACTCCCTCCCCAAGAGCAGTGAGCAAACCTAACACTCAGTAACTTGTTTTCCTAAATTCACTCTTGAGAGTAATCTTCCTGACTTTGATGAGAGCATCCATGCTATTCCAAGTGAACAGGATGGTGATGTTTGGGCACATGATCCAGGACCTTTCATCTCAGAGCTTACATTACCTGCTTGTTGCTTTTTTTTTTCCATTCTGAGAGATGTACCATAAACTGAGGAACCTGCTTTGTTCTATATTGCCTATAAGTGGCCAATTCCTAAAAAAAAAAAAAAAGACAAAACACTGGGTTACAATTTTATGTTTTGGTGAGCACAAGAACTGACTTTTAAGAATATAAGATTATATATGTTATAAGTGTGCATAATAGCACTGGAAATGGTAGAGGACAGTCCCAAATACAAGCACAAGCAGTGATGTGCTTCTATGTCACCAAAAAGCGTGGATTGTTGCCTCCATTGTTTTTAGAAGTAGTCAGAAAAGCCTAACCCAAATGAAAATAAAGATCTTGACAGCAGAAAGAGCAGAAGCATGCACCTCAGTAAAATTAGGCCATTAGTTCTGATTTAGAGTAACCAGATGTCTCAAACAGACGTAATTTAAAAAAAAAAAAAAAAAAAAAAAAAAAAGACAGTTTTCTAATTAAATTTTGAAAAAGCATAGCATTGATGAATCTCAGAATCCTGCTTCCAGCACCATCTTGAAGCAGTGACCGTTCCCCCTTTCACTTCCCTATGTTTGTCTCTGCTTTATTCCCAGAGCCAGAGGAACAAAAAGCTGCTTGATACCCCTCTTACAATAGGAAGGAGATGCGCCGGGTTGTGTGGGAGGAGCCGCTCGATTCTTCCACGTAGCGCCGGGTACACATGTTTCGAGCAGCGTTAAGTGTTCCTCGGAGCAGGGAACAGAGTGTTCCAGCAGGATCTAACACACAGGCAAAGACAGAAAGCCATTTTCTTCACAACTACGTGTGCATTAATACAAGAGCCTGAGCTTGCAGAGGACAAACCTACTGTTCCAGTGCTTCTTCTTGCCTTTTATTTTCTACGTTGTAATTCAATTTTAATTTTTTTATGAGATTGCATGAATTTTGTTTTTAAAACATGATTTATTTTTAAATTCAAGGCTTCATACAAAAAAGTATGTGAGAGAAACAACAGTTACATAGAGCATCCTCTGCAGTTCTATATAATATTTTTGGAGCAACAGTTTTTTTCACCTGAGTGTCTTCTGCCCAACAATCCAGCTAGGAGTAAGTGGAGGGGGAGCAAGGTAACAGGGGAAGGGAGTGTTAAAGCCATGCCCATCCATGCTATGAAACAAGAGCATTATATGTCCCTTGGTACACAACATCATAAGCAGGCAGAACCCCACCAGCTGTCTCGGCCCCACTCTGATGCCACACCACTGCAGCCAGCTCAGGCCCCAAAACTGCTCTGCTTCATACAAAGAAATCAACATGTTTGAGGTGAAGACAGGGAATGTCTTCATCGCATTCCTTTCCTCTGCATAGACATGCCTTCATTGTTTCCACTCAGTTTTGTTACCCTGGAGCTGTAGGGTATTTCCTGCAGAGTCATCTCCTCCCACCAGATCGGAGGTTCTGTCTCATCTACCAGACAGCATGGCTTCAAGGGCCATGCCAAAACTGGTGCTGCCAGCACCCAGACTCTTCAGTTTCAAAGTAAAAAGGAAACAACAGTAATATTCCAGGAGAACTGTTCAAAGCTGCTGCTAAGTGTGGGTGCATGTCCCCTGGATTTTCTGTATTCATATCACAGCATAAAGAAATGGTCAGGGGTCTATAAGAAATTACTAGGGATGGTCAGGGATGTCCAAGGAATGGCTAGGGATGGTCAGAAGTGATCAGGAGAAAGCTCCCTCTGTTGCTGCAGACCTGGGGGAATTGATCTGACCGTAAGTGGTGCAATTTCCTACTTTGTACCAAAGGCAAAGTCATTAGTTTATATAAAAATGACTTAGAAATAGCTGATATTACCTGAAAACTGGTCTTCTTTTTGAGGTAGTGGAATTTACAGTAAGAAATACAGTAAGAAATTGAAAACTGCATTTTTTAAATACATGTTTTAAATTGATAGACTACTGCAGAAATTTCAACGCAAAACGGAGCGTTAAAATTACAAATCCAGTCTTACTTCTGTGCTTTGTTGACGTGTCCTCGGTATTCCAGCCAATGACCAAAACTATAGCAAGGATGAATTTCAGTCAGTTGAGATTTGAAGATAAGAGTGGTTACAACCCTCACACTAACACAACAGCCAGGGGGGCTCAGTACCTCAGAGTGCTTTGACTGTGTGAAGAATCTCACGCTCTTGGGGTGCAGAATTTTGCTTGTTGCCTGCTTGTGGTGCGTTTGATACAACACACATTTCATAACCGTGAGTTTAAGTCTATTCTGAATTTGCGTCAGATTACTTTGACCTCATGTTTGTAAATGCCAGAAACTTTCTGTTCCTTCCCCGCTTCAGCTATAAAGTAGTAACACTGGCTGCAGAAATGCTTATGTCATCAGTGGAGGTTTCAGAACAAAGCCAAACCAGTTTTACTATTCCTGATAAAAGTAAACACCCTCTTCTATGAAGATGAAGACATAAAAGATGTAAATAGTAAATATGGTTATGGATAGGCACATAAAAAATGCAATGTTGTTGTTCATTAACTCCAAAGATTGGAGGAAACCAAGCAGATATTTAATGGAGGGTGGAGGTGAATTTTGCATGTACTCATTTCTGAAGCAAATGAAACAAAAGCAGTGGAATACTTCTGTTTTATAACTGCTGTGAGTTCTCTCAAAGTATTTTTATGGCTATATCGTTTTTAACTTCCTCACTGATTATATAACATTTGCACCAACTCATTGAAAAGGTGACCAAGCCTTCCTGCGCTTGTAGTATAGTGCGTTGTTATGCACTTATATGAGTTGTTTGCCACTTTATGTGCTGCTCAGATTCAGTACACTTTCTTCTGAACTTTGCTCTGGAGTTCTGTAGAAAAAGGATAAGGTTTTACTACATTGTTTACTGTGCTGAATGGTTTAGAAATTTTAACTTGATAAATGTAAAGGTAATTTTCTTTTCCTTCACATCGTTCATGACCTGTAGACTAATATTCATACTTGTTTATCTGTTTTAACTGACAAACCATTAAAATGTTGGGAAGTAGGTGAATTCCTTCTTGCTAGTAGAAGAGTATGAGATCAGGCATTGTGGAGAGACAGAGACAAAGAAAAAGTTTGCTCTTCAAGAACTGTACCTTATCATTAGCCCTTTAGTATGTAGTGTGAAGAAATCTTGGGACTGGAAAACTTTGGCCAACCCTATGAATGAGAAATGGATTCAAGAGCTATTAAAATTATTAAAATACTGAACATTTACTTTGAAGAAATTCAGGCACAAAGATCTCAAAACCGCAAAGCAATTATTTTTATATCTAGATTGGTTGAATGGACTTTTTTCCTTGTAAATCAAGCAACACAAACAGGAGTGATAATTTGAATTAGTCAAATTCCTCTATCAATACAAAAATAATTAAAACCTTTTTTTTTAATGATGCCAAAAATAGCTGAAAATTTAAACAGTATATTTGCTTATAAACCTCAACAAATGTCAAAAATTAAAAATAAGTAGATTACCACGTGGGTTACAACACTGATAAAACACAGTACAAGGATTTAAAAGTTTTTGTATTAAATTGGGAAGACAAGTAGAGTCCCACTCTGCAAGGGAATAAATCCATTTCTGCTTTCAGTTTCATATGCACAATATACAGTACTTTGAAGAGATTTGGGGACATCCAGTAGAGAAAAAGAAAATAAATTGGTAATGCTCCAGCTTACAAGGACAGGAAGCAAAGATAATGTACAGCTGAAAGAAGTGGAGCATTTCAGACGTATTTAGATATATAATTCATACATCCCACAGTTCATGAAAAATGGGTGGTTGGTTTTACCTCCACTTAGCGTAACCTTTTTTGAAAAACAAGGTTGGATGAATATTTCTGCCCTATTCTGCAGTGTGTGGAGTGGCTGGTATTTCTATGGAAATAAGTAGAAATAAAATATTACTAGAAGATTTTAAAAGATACATTGGACCAGTCAGTGGAGAAGTAAATAATTTTTGGAGTGATCGAATCACTGGCTCTGGCCCAAACAAATCTCCTACTTACACTGTGTACAAAATCAAAGCTATTTTAAGCATAACCTCAGAAGTTGGAGGTAAGAGCCATTTCCCATGCTGTGGCCATGCCTATGCTTTGGTCAAGAGAAGAAAATTTCTGAAGTAAATATTTGGTGCTGAGTACCCAATAACTACACTACACAGCTTCTAAACATTTCCTTTGGGCCACCTCTAGTCTGGTCTCATGGGCTATATGTGTCTTAGTGAATGGAAGACGTTAGATGTGCTCATGGGCCATCATGGTTCTGCTGCAGCCAGAGTGAATCTCGTTCAAACCCTTAAGACCATGCTGTGATGGGAACTAATGCATTGCAAAGTGATCACAGCAGGGAGCTTCATTTCCATAGAACCCTCTTGTGATACTCTGTCCTTGTTAGCATGCATGGTGCATCCCCATGGTGCTCTCCAGTCAGAATCAGACTGCAGTCAGTCCAGCCAATGTACTCCCACCAGCTTGCAAAAACTTGATCCATTTGGGACTGGGGTGAATTTAATTCCACAGGCCACTAGGAATCAGGGCTTCCTTAGAAGGAATGGTGACAGGTGACTGTCTACTTATGCACCATAAGCACAAGGGGAAGTGTCACTGCAAGGAAGCTTGCAGTTTGGGGCTACCATGGAAAGCCCCAGGAGCAGGTCAGTTGGGCATCAATCACCTTAGGGTGTTTCTGCTTCTGGTAGCCGTACCAGGCAGAGTGCTGCCACAACAGAGGGCCTGGTTTCTTAGCAGCAATCAGGTCCATCCTGCAGCTGATAATGTCTGTCTAAATATATCGGTGATTAGGGCTACCCTGCATAGATTAAAGTCACAGCTCTGTATCTCTCATCTGAGGCCCAACAGTTGGCCTGATGACAGGACAAGCATGAACTCTTTGACCTGTTTTTCCAAACTGTTTTTAAAGCCTGCTTTAAATACACTGGGTCGCTCTCTGTGAGAGCGGATTGCAACAACTGCAATTCCTTACCAGAGCATGGCTTCCTTAAACTCCAAAAATTGCACTAGGGTGGAGCAGGCTGCATGGTTAGGAGGTCATCTCTTTAAGGACTTCAATGCCTCTTAAGTGTGCCACCTCGTTAGAAAACAGGACTAAAATTTGTGTGTAAAGCACCGACATAAGCTTTAAGCAAAAGCAAAAGATCAAATAAAAGCATTTCAATTTATCACTATACAATGCATAGAATATCCTATTTTAATAGAATGCCATTTCTTTTTATATAGGTGCTCAATTATCTGTTTTAACTCGTTTCTGGGGACACAAAGTGATCTTGAACAAGCCGTTCTAATTGCATGTCTGTCCGGAGCTGAATTTAAGTCTCGGCTGCCTTGACAAACACGATTCCCTCTGCTCTGCACAGAAATCCTCAATATAATTATAAAAGATTCAATTCTTCCTAAGTTTTTCCCTAGGCAATGACCTGCTTGGCTTGTATGGCAAAATCAACCCCAATTTTATTATCCAGAGGATAGCAGAGTTGCCTTATCCTTTTCAAATAAATGCAACTGGGAATTGTGAAAAGGAAAAAAGAAGACCTTATTCCTTTAATTGTTCACCAGTTTAGCATGAAGAAGTTACACACAGGGGAGCCTTGAAACTTCTTTCATGTTCATACCCTTTAATTCAATTAAGGCCCTAAGCTAAAGCAAAGAGCTAGCAAGAGTCAGATACTATTGCTCCTGATAATGTAACTGCCAAAAAAATTAATGGCATATAAACAATCCAGTGGCTGTTTTGTTACAACATTTCCCCTTCTGAAGTAGGTTAGTTTGCCTGTTAGATGACAAAACTATGGATGAATTTCTTACTCTCTTCAATCTTTGATTTAAAATAGGCCGCTGTATTTAAGCACTTGAGATGCAAAGAAGCATTCATATTTTCTAAATGGTCTTCTGTGATCTGAAGAGATCAATGGTATCTGTTTAGGCTCCATTTGGAGCCTAGGGGGGAACAAAAGCACAAAAAAAATGGATTGATTTAGATGGAATTTGAGATTACACTCATTTCAGACCCATTTTGAGGACTTGTGAGAGGTCATGTAAAGAGCCAGCCACTTCTGCTTTTTCCTTTTATCGAAGTATTGACTGACAAATGTGTTACTTTAAAGAAAATGGAATTTAACCTTAAAATTATTAGCGCAATCAAAGGCAAATATATCATGGCCTGGATGTTGAGCCTTAAATTAATAAATAAGCAAACAAAACAGGAAATGGGGAAGGAGGAAGATGTTTCAGTGAATCTAAAGGAAAAAGTGTAGTCCTGATGAATACATTTACACTGACACACATTCCTGTGTTACCAAATAAAGAACTCAGAAATATATTCTGACCCAGAGGGAAAAAAAAGATAGATAGGTAGATAGACAGATATGTATATAAAATGAAAAAAATACATACAAAAATACATCTTTAAAATCACTTCCCCTAAAACCCATGAAAATACCTAAATCTGAGAAAAATTCCTCAAGAAGTAATCAAGCAAAGATACTTAAACACATTCCAGTGTATATTTGAGGATCCGTGATTTTTCCAGATGTGTTGTCAAGGCAGAAGCACCAGTGTGACAAAAGCAACAAAAAAGAGAAGTGTGGGCTGCATGCAGTCAGGATGACTGGATGGGTGCAAGGCCCCAGGTTCTCACCTCCTAATAGGAAAAGTCAGGTAGCAGCTGTAGCTCAAGTAGATACTTGCAGATGCTCTCTCACAGCAAGCATTTTTAAAACAGTGTAGTTCTGTCTGCTCTTGCTTGCAGCTATTGAGTGCTGCTTTAGGCAAAGGGTAAAGGAAGTTCCCAGTGAGGAACTGTGAATGGATTTGAATGCAAAGAGACAGTGGCAAGCCAATCTGCTTGTCCTCTTCTCCCAGGAATTCGTAAGTCACATTGTATCTCAAAATAAGGGTAATGTGAGGGGGAACTTTCTCCCCACACTGTACACGCAAATGCCCAACATCCTATTTTGGAAGAATTTCCTTAGTAAACCACTGTCCTATGGCCTTTCGGTTTTGTAGTTTATGTGAGTTTCTCCTACCAGAGCATTTTATGGGGAATAATTCACCTCTAGCGAAGAAGCTGCATCTTGGATTTTGCTGCTACTCCTTGGGATGTCCACGCTGCCTGACTTCATTAATCTTGTTTTTCATGGTCACTGTACTGTGCAGTTATTCCATTAACATATTGCATCGCCTGCGGCTGCTTTAATGTATGCTCTATTCTATATTTGCCTAATTTATTTAGGCATTTGTAGTGCACTGACCACTGTAGGGTGTCTCTCTCTGCAGGCAAATGAGAAGAGCATATGGCATGGAACTGTGAGCTATTGACGGCGCTCCTGGGAAGCCTTGTAAAAGGGCATGGCTGCTTTGACACAGCAACTTTACACACCAATTATTTTTTTTTTTTTAAAAAAAAGCAACAATTTTCCATGTAAGGAGAACTTTACATACATTGATGCCTATTCATACTGTGCGCTAAAAGAATGGAGAATGTGTTTATGGCCTGTAATAGATGTTTAAACTCCTAGCAATTTGGGGATCCAACATAAAATGTAGATGGTTACAAAGCTCAGAAGCAGAGCACATTATCTGTCATTGCAAGGATCAACCCTTAATTGAGACATTCTTTTTTTCTGTCATTTTTAGAGTCGACAGTAGAACTGGCTAGATGCAGCAAGCAGAGTGTGACACACAAAAAAAAAAGATTTGACAAAGCATTAATAAAAATAGAGCTTCTTTCCATGAGGTCATCTCTTCTGCATTTTACATATGTATGCATACATTTCCTTGCTTGGAAATAAAGGTCATAATTATTTTATCCTTTCACTCACTAAATGTCTACATAGCCTTTTTTCTTTAGGAACACAAAAAAGCACAAGGTGTCAAATGACAGAGCCTAAAAGGCAGGGGATTTTTTTTAAATTTATTATTCTCTGGTTTAAAACATGTTGGCACAAGATATTAATCAAATAGGAAATAATTTGTTTTTCAGTAATGCGTAATCATAATCTGGTATTGAAAAAGAACCATTAAATTCTTTCACAGCCAATCTTTGTTAGCATCTTATTTTTATTATTAACTGTATTTAGTTGAACAGAAGTGGAGGGAAAGTATGATGCATTAATATAAATGGTACTGTGAGCATTTGAACTGTATCCTAGTTTTAAAGGATGGTCATCAGATATCTGTAGTATATTCTGAGTGGATTTCCTTGTGATAAGAAAAAATATTGCAGAATTTCATGACGTTTACCATACATGGGTAGTGAGTCTGGGTGCTGAATCTGAGAACATGTAACCTTTAATAAATGCAACCACGATTTCTGAGTAGATGGTTCACACGCTAAAGAGCTAGAATGACAGCAACAGTGTGTATGAGAAATTCACTCCAAATTCACACACATTTAAGAGCAGACAGTCAGCTTTTCATTTAAGCTTTAAAATATCCAGACCTCTCCAAAGTGAGAAGGGATGGTACTACTCAAAATAATGAGAAACCAGCCCAAGCCTGATCCAGGCATCCAGTGCTGGTGTCATTGTCATTACACGTGCAATTGCAGTAATCCCAGAGAAGATGTGCTTTTAGGTGAGGCAGCAGGTACCAGCTCATTGTTGTCCACGACCATTTGTCCCTCAGTAACGGTGAGGAGCAAGGCAATTAGGAGAACAGAGCTGAGCGCTGCTGGAAAGGTAAGAATATCTTTAAAGCCTCAAAAGCTTCTTCAAATTGTTTTACTGTTGCGAAGTAGCCTTTGAAATCATTTAAATTGCAAACAGTGAAAGTTTATTGTTAGACCAGCTATTGTTTCTGAGCCACAGGGGTATCTGAGCAGGGAGGAACGAGCTGGAGCCAGATGGAGGAGGAAGGAGTTTCTTACCAGCACGTTGCCCACGCAGCACCTCAGGCGGCAAAAAGAGCAGATGTTTGCTGGAGGAAGGAGAGCACTTACCTATTCAGTACCTATTTATTTACCAGCACTGTCAGCCTGGTGCTGGGGGGCTGGCAGTCTGTGAGGAACACCATGAAAATGCTAGGGAATGGAGGTAGAAAGACTTAGCCTCCTCCTTAGCCCCATATTTATCTCTTGTGTAACACAGAACTTCATCATTCCTTGTGCTTCCAACTTCAGATCTCAGTGGAGCTTCTGGAGTTGAGAAAACACCGAGCAAGTGTTGAAAATCAGAAAGTAGTTTTTACACTGTGTGTGTCATGAGGGAACAGAGTGCATCTCACAGATCTAGACTTTGGGAGAAGAGTACTCAAGTTGATACTTGCACACTGCTGTGTTTTGTGGCCCCTACATGTTAGGGTCAGATGGAGACGGTTTGCTGCAGGACTGATTCTTCCCACTGACTCCACATGGGAAAGAAACCACCTTCGTGGGGCAAAGTTACAGATTCCAGAAGTAATACAAAAACTAAGCTCCCACCATCATACTGTGCAGAGAAAGGAAATTTAAAAGCTGCCATATGTGATAGCTCCTTTAACATAACTGATGAGCTGATCTACAGTCTCATCTGCAGCTCTACCCTGGGACAGATCTTGTGTCATCAGAGAACCCCAATACAGCCACTTGTTCAACAGATGGGGCTGCATTAGCATTAGGTCCCTTCCGTTCACAGAACATGCAATTGTATTTGTTCAGAAATTAATGTGCGCAAGTGTCATGAGCATGGCTAATCCAGGCAAAAAAAAACACTGTCCCAAATCTGAATAGCTGCAGTATGCTTCTGCTGAGGGGACGCTCTAGGAATACACCATGAATACAATTACATCTTCTTTCAGCAAGACCTCCTGCCTCAGAACAGCTGAAAGCACATTGTCAGAGCTGCAGACAACAGCTTCAGCTGCAGATAAGACGTATTCTGTAAAGAAACCACCTCTGTGATGAAACACAGGAAAACCTGTATAACTGCATGCGTTGCACAAAGTAAATTAACAATTTATAACTCATTCACATAATGCAGTTGCTCACAGAAGGAAGTAGAGAACAATACCATATTCACTGAAGCTTTAAGAGGATGCTATTCTCACTCTGCTTACGAAAAAAAAAAAAAAACGAGTTGCTACCAGAGACCTAGAGGAAATGGTAGGTGTTAGCTATTCTAACCATTGTGGATTTGGCTGTCAGTTTTGTGTCATATTGAGGTTGTGCATGCTTGCACGCACATCTAAATTTCAAACTCCTTACATGCACTGCAACTCAACTAGGTCACGTTAACGAGATCTTCAGAAGTGTGGCTGTAGGTGTTCTCCCAGCCAAGCCAGATTTAATCAAAGTTTTTCCTCAGCCTAGTCCTCAGAAACAAAAATACACCTGTGCTTTCTTTGCCCTTGGTGTTGTCAGCACTCTGGCTTGATGCTCTTAGATAAAATGTGTATGCACACAGATAGAATTTGTATGCATACATTCTCATGCAAAACAATGCAGGCTGCATAAATGTCAGTGTGCTTGTTTGGAAATTTGTTTAAAAACATGAGTTATTTACTTCCTGTCTGAACTCTGTGGAGGTGCTTCACAGCGCTACCCAGACTGTGTGACACTGCATGCAACACAGGGATGCCCAAATCATTGAGATGTTTTCAGACACCCACATACCCATACCCAAAATGTAAGAACATAGAGCAAGTTATCTCCTTATTCACATAATTTTTTTTTCCTTCTTTTTCACCTGAAGTTAAATGATACCAGAGTGAAAGAATGAACTACTTTGTTAAAAAACAAAGAGTTGGAGGAGTCTCAAGGGAGGCATCATTGCTCTCTACAATGACCTGAAAGGAGGTTGTGGCAAGGTGAGGTCAGCCAGTTCTCCCAGGTAACTATGATAGGATGAGATGTCCTTAAGTTATGCCAGAGGAAGTTCAGTTTGGATACTAGGAAAAGCTTCTACTCAGGAGTGGTGCTGCACTGGCACAGGCTGCCCAGGGAGGTGGTGAAGTCACCATCCTTGGACGTGTTTCAGAACTGTGTGGATGTGGCACAGAGGGACGTGGTCAGTGGGAATGGTGAGAATGGGCTGAGGGTTAGGCTGGATGATCTTAGCGGTCTTTTCCAACCTTAATGATTCTGTGATTCTATGACTGTTTCTATGACTGCTTCTATAACATGTCATTTTACAGAGTATTTAAGATACTGGATGTTTATACAACAATTTAGACATTCATTCAGTATATACTAAAAAACAAAACAAAAATGTTATTTTCCCTTTCTTGCATTGACTGAGTAAAGGAAATCACTTGTGACTTATATAAATGGCACACAAAAACACACTCCCCTGACTTTTCCAAAGTTTAATCCAACAATCAAAAATGACAACAGCATAGATAAGCACAAATGTCAGCCAGCTGCACACAAGCACAGACATGTTTCATGGCAGAGATGGAAATAGCTCTCACTCTGTTACAGAAAGAAGGCTGACTAGAGTCATGTTTGCTTTCCAGTATATATTCTTAAATATTTGTGTTCTTTGGTTAAAAACAAAAACAAACAAACAAAAAAGTGCTGCTAACATGAAGCCATGCTTCAAGTAACCTTTCAGTTTTCTAGAGCACAGTATACTTGTAGTAACACATGCATGTGCAGAAATGTATACACTCGTATGCAAAATACCAGCAGATTTTGCTGGTGTTAAAGTGCTTTTGTTGCAAAATGGGTTCTCTAAACTGGAAGATCTAAAGTCAAATGCAGTGATTTTTCTTAAACTGCAGGGAAAATTTCCCCTCAGAGCCCAAGCACAAGGAAAGCAGGGAAAGGGAAAAAAAACAAGGGCTGCTCTTTGGGGAGGGGGTGGCTGGCTTCCAAGGGCACAAAGCAAGTACATGTCGGAGCAGCTGCAGACGCTTGAGCTGGGATCCAGGCGCACAACCACAGCCTTCATGGTGATTAAGGAATAAGTTAACTCTCTGTAGAAAGTTCTGTTATTTGGAACGTGCAGCGCTCAGCACTGTACAGACAGGGAGGGAAACACTGACACATCTCCTTTGCTGCTGCCTTAAGTTTATCAGCAGCTGTCAGATCATTCCCAGTACATACTGCACTTGAAGTTCAGGCACCTGGTTATACCAGCTTTCATAGCCATGCATTTTAAAATGATTCCTCCTCTGATTTTTTCACTTTCAAACCAGTTCAGCTATCACCTCACTGCAGTTTACTGTGCAGCCCTAATCAACATATTACAGCCTGGGAACTGCTGCGCCATGTCATTGCACTAAAAGGAAAAAAAAAAACTCCTTCCTATGATGCATCCAATTGCCTGTTCACACAACAAAATTAAGCCCTTTAAAAAAGAAAAGAAAAAAAAAAAAGCAATCGTTAAGCATTTTTTGAACTGTGCAGCCGTGTCAAGTTAAGCCCTTCCCACCCCCTTCATAATGCTGCCTGCATTATGCCTCTGGAAA